GGTCTCTCTCTCTGGTCTCTCTCTGGTCTCTCTCTGGTCTCTCTCTCTGGTCTCTCTCTGGTCTCTCTCTGGTCTCTCTCTCTGGTCTCTCTCTGGTCTCTCTCTGGTCTCTCTCTCTGGTCTCTCTCTGGTCTCTCTCTCTGGTCTCTCTCTGGTCTCTCACTGGTCTCTCTCTGGTCTCTCTCTGGTCTCTCTCTCTGGTCTCTCTCTGGGCTCTCTCTGGTCTCTCTCTCTGGTCTCTCTCTGGTCTCTCTCTGGTATCTCTCTGGTCTCTCTCTCTGGTCTCTCTCTGGTCTCTCTCTGGTCTCTCTCTGGTCTCTCTCTCTCTCTCTGGTCTCTCTCTGGTCTCTCTCTCTGGTCTCTCTCTCTGGTCTCTCTCTGGTCTCTCTCTGGTCTCTCTCTGGTCTCTCTCTCTGGTCTCTCTCTGGTCTCTCTCTGGTCTCTCTCTCTGGTCTCTCTCTCTGGTCTCTCTCTCTGGTCTCTCTCTGGTCTCTCTCTGGTCTCTCTCTGGTCTCTCTCTCTGGTCTCTCTCTGGTCTCTCTCTGGTCTCTCTCTGGTCTCTCTCTGGTCTCTCTCTCTGGTCTCTCTCTGGTCTCTCTCTGGTCTCTCTCTGGTCTCTCTCTCTGGTCTCTCTCTGGTCTCTCTCTGGTCTCTCTCTGGTCTCTCTCTCTGGTCTCTCTCTGGTCTCTCTCTGGTCTCTCTCTCTGGTCTCTCTCTCTGGTCTCTCTCTCTGGTCTCTCTCTCTGGTCTCTCTCTCTGGTCTCTCTCTGGTCTCTCTCTGGTCTCTCTCTGGTCTCTCTCTCTGGTCTCTCTCTGGTCTCTCTCTGGTCTCTCTCTGGTCTCTCTCTGGTCTCTCTCTGGTCTCTCTCTGGTCTCTCTCTGGTCTCTCTCTGGTCTCTCTCTCTGGTCTCTCTCTCTGGTCTCTCTCTGGTCTCTCTCTGGTCTCTCTCTGGTCTCTCTCTCTGGTCTCTCTCTCTGGTCTCTCTCTGGTCTCTCTCTGGTCTCTCTCTCTGGTCTCTCTCTGGTCTCTCTCTGGTCTCTCTCTCTGTCTCTCTCTCTGGTCTCTCTCTCTGGTCTCTCTCTCTGGTCTCTCTCTGGTCTCTCTCTGGTCTCTCTCTGGTCTCTCTCTCTGGTCTCTCTCTGGTCTCTCTCTGGTCTCTCTCTGGTCTCTCTCTGGTCTCTCTCTGGTCTCTCTCTGGTCTCTCTCTCTGGTCTCTCTCTGGTCTCTCTCTGGTCTCTCTCTCTGGTCTCTCTCTCTGGTCTCTCTCTCTGGTCTCTCTCTGGTCTCTCTCTGGTCTCTCTCTGGTCTCTCTCTCTGGTCTCTCTCTGGTCTCTCTCTGGTCTCTCTCTGGTCTCTCTCTGGTCTCTCTCTCTGGTCTCTCTCTGGTCTCTCTCTGGTCTCTCTCTCTGGTCTCTCTCTCTGGTCTCTCTCTGGTACCTTTCCCAGGGCAGTGAGGAGTTGGAAGTCGATGGTTCTTCGATGTCTCAGAATCTTCAGAACTCCGTCCAGATAAACCTGATCTTTACTGAAGCAGCCTGCAACACAGACACACACTTTGGTAACAAGAACACACACACACACTTTGGTAACAAGAACACACACACACAGACACACACTTTGGTAACAAGAACACACACACAGACACACACTTACCTGATGTCAGTACCTGATGTCAGTCGCTGATGTCAGTCGCTGATGTCAGTACCTGATGTCAGTCGCTGATGTCAGTACGTGATGTCAGTACCTGATGTCACTCGCTGATGTCAGTACCTGATGTCAGTCGCTGATGTCAGTACCTGATGTCAGTCGCTGATGTCAGTACCTGATGTCAGTACCTGATGTCAGTCGCTGATGTCAGTACCTGATGTCAGTACCTGATGTCAGTACGTGATGTCAGTACCTGATGTCAGTCGCTGATGTTAGTACCTGATGTCAGTACCTGATGTCAGTCGCTGATGTCAGTACCTGATGTCAGTACCTGATGTCAGTCGCTGATGTCAGTACCTGATGTCACTCGCTGATGTCAGTACCTGATGTCAGTACCTGATGTCACTCGCTGATGTCAGTACCTGATGTCAGTACCTGATGTCAGTCGCTGATGTCAGTACCTGATGTCAGTCGCTGATGTCAGTACCTGATGTCAGTACCTGATGTCAGTCGCTGATGTCAGTACCTGATGTCAGTACCTGATGTCAGTACGTGATGTCAGTACCTGATGTCAGTCGCTGATGTTAGTACCTGATGTCAGTACCTGATGTCAGTCGCTGATGTCAGTACCTGATGTCAGTACCTGATGTCAGTCGCTGATGTCAGTACCTGATGTCAGTCGCTGATGTCAGTACCTGATGTCAGTACGTGATGTCAGTACCTGATGTCAGTCGCTGATGTCAGTACCTGATGTCAGTCGCTGATGTCAGTACCTGATGTCAGTCGCTGATGTCAGTACGTGATGTCAGTACCTGATGTCAGTACCTGATGTCAGTACGTGATGTCAGTACCTGATGTCAGTCGCTGATGTCAGTACCTGATGTCAGTACCTGATGTCAGTCGCTGATGTCAGTACGTGATGTCAGTACCTGATGTCAGTCGCTGATGTCAGTACCTGATGTTAGTACCTGATGTCAGTACGTGATGTCAGTACCTGATGTCAGTCGCTGATGTCAGTACCTGATGTCAGTTGCTGATGTCAGTACGTGATGTCAGTACCTGATGTCAGTCGCTGATGTCAGTACATGATGTCAGTACCTGATGTCAGTCGCTGATGTCAGTACCTGATGTCAGTACCTGATGTCAGTCGCTGATGTCAGTACGTGATGTCAGTACCTGATGTCAGTACGTGATGTCAGTACCTGATGTCAGTCGCTGATGTCAGTACCTGATGTCAGTACCTGATGTCAGTCGCTGATGTCAGTACGTGATGTCAGTACCTGATGTCAGTCGCTGATGTCAGTACCTGATGTCAGTACCTGATGTCAGTACGTGATGTCAGTACCTGATGTCAGTCGCTGATGTCAGTACCTGATGTCAGTACCTGATGTCAGTCGCTGATGTCAGTACCTGATGTCAGTAAGTGATGTCAGTACCTGATGTCAGTACGTGATGTCAGTACGTGATATCAGTACCTGATGTCAGTCGCTGATGTCAGTACCTGATGTCAGTACCTGATGTCAGTACCTGATGTCAGTACCTGATGTCAGTACCTGATGTCAGTCGCTGATGTCAGTCGCTGATGTCAGTACCTGATGTCAGTCGCTGATGTCAATACCTGCTGTCAGTAGCTGCTGTCAGTAGCTGATGTCAGTAGCTGCTGTCAGTACCTGATGTCAGTAGCTGCTGTCAGTACCTGATGTCAGTAGCTGCTGTCAGTACCTGATGTCAGTAGCTGCTGTCAGTACCTGATGTCAGTAGCTGATGTCAGTAGCTGCTGTCAGTACCTGATGTCAGTAGCTGATGTCAGTAGCTGCTGTCAGTAGCTGCTGTCAGTAGCTGCTGTCAGTACCTGATGTCAGTAGCTGATGTCAGTAGCTGCTGTCAGTAGCTGATGTCAGTACCTGGCCTGGAGGTGTCGGTCTGCCCCCTCTTGGCTCGGAGGCAGTACTCCCAGCGTACATGTGGGTTAGTGACGTAGCGCTGCAGATGATGGAAGAGGCTGCAGAAGCCCATGCTCTGGGCCTGGAGAACAGTGTAGTAGAGCAGGGAGGCCCTCCAGAGGAACGGCTGCTTCCTCAGCAGGACACTGTGCAGCGAGGCCAGGCCCTCCTCTGTCGGGTTGGCCCCTAGGAGCCCCAGGGACCTCCTCTGCTCTGACGACGCCCAGGGCTGCAGGCTGTTGTTCACACTCCGCAGGTAGTGTGTGCCTGAGAGGAGGAGAGGAGGAGGGGGGAGAGGGAGGAGAGGAGGAGAGGGAGGAGAGGAGGAGGGGGGAGAGGAGGGGGAGAGGGAGGAGAGGAGGAGAGGGAGGAGAGGAGGAGGGGTAGAGGGAGGAGAGGGAGAGGGGGAGAGAGGGAGAGAGGGAGGAGAGGGGGGAGAGGGAGAGAGGGAGAGAGGGAGGAGAGGGAGGAGAGAGGGAGGAGAGGGGGGAGAGGGAGAGAGGGAGGAGAGGGGGGAGAGGGAGAGAGGGAGGAGAGGGGTGAGAGGGAGGAGAGGAGGAGGAGAGGAGGAGAGGGAGGAGAGGAGGAGAGGGAGGAGAGGAGGAGGGGGGAGAGGAGGGGGAGAGGAGGAGAGGAGGAGAGAAGGAGAGGGAGGAGAGGAGGAGGGGTAGAGGGAGGAGAGGGAGAGGGGGAGAGAGGGAGAGAGGGAGGAGAGGGGGGAGAGGGAGAGAGGGAGGAGAGGGAGGAGAGAGGGAGAGAGGGGAGGAGAGGGGGGAGAGGGAGAGAGGGAGGAGAGGGGGGAGAGGGAGAGAGGGAGGAGAGGGGGGAGAGGGAGGAGAGGAGGAGGAGAGGAGGAGAGGGAGGAGAGGGAGGAGAGGAGGAGAGGGGGGCAGGAGGAGGAGGAGAGGAGGAGAGGGGCCTGTTAATCTAATCTTCTTTAATCAAGATTTGCATTTAAGCACCTCCTCCATTACCTATACTATCACCTCCTCCATTACCTATACTATCACCTCCTCTAGTACCTATACTATCACCTCCTCTAGTACCTATACTATCACCTCCTCTAGTACTATCACCCCCTCTAGTACCTACACTATCACCTCCTCTAGTACCTACACTATCACCTCCTCTAGTACCTACTGTATACTATCACCTCCTCTAGTACCTACACTATCACCTCCTCTAGTACCTATACTATCACCTCCTCTAGTACTATCACCCCCTCTAGTACCTACACTATCACCTCCTCTAGTACCTACACTATCACCTCCTCTAGTACTATCACCTCCTCTAGTACCTACACTATCACCTCCTCTAGTACTATCACCTCCTCTAGTACCTACACTATCACCTCTAGTACCTACACTATCACCTCCTCTAGTACTATCACCTCCTCTAGTACCTACACTATCACCTCCTCTAGTACCTACACTATCACCTCCTCTAGTACTATCACCTCCTCTAGTACCTACACTATCACCTCCTCTAGTACTATCACCTCCTCTAGTACCTACACTATCACCTCCTCTAGTACTATCACCTCCTCTAGTACCTACACTATCACCTCCTCTAGTACCTACACTATCACCTCCTCTAGTACCTACACTATCACCTCCTCTAGTACTATCACCTCCTCTAGTACCTATACTATCACCTCCTCTAGTACCTATACTATCACCTCCTCTAGTACTATCACCTCCTCTAGTACCTACACTATCACCTCCTCTAGTACTATCACCTCCTCTAGTACCTATACTATCACCTCCTCTAGTACTATCACCTCCTCTAGTACCTATACTATCACCTCCTCTAGTACTATCACCTCCTCTAGTACCTACACTATCACCTCCTCTAGTACCTACACTATCACCTCCTCTAGTACCTACACTATCACCTCCTCTAGTACCTACACTATCACCTCCTCTAGTACTATCACCTCCTCTAGTACCTACACTATCACCTCCTCTAGTACCTACACTATCACCTCCTCTAGTACTATCACCTCCTCTAGTACCTACACTATCACCTCCTATAGTACCTACACAATCACCTCCTCTAGTACCTATACTATCACCTCCTCTGTGTACAGTATATCTGTGTGTGTGTGTGTGTCTGTGTGTATGTGTATATGTGTGTGTGTGTGTGTGTGTATGTGTATGTGTACGTGTATGTGTGTGTGTCTATGTGTGTGTGTGTATGTGTGTCTGTGTGTGTGTGTCTGTGTGTGTGGGTGTGTGTATGTGTATGTGTGTGTAACTGTGTGTGTGTGTGTGTATGTGTATGTGTATGTGTGTGTGTGTGTGTGTGTGTTTGTACCGATCTCATGGCGGAGCATCCCTTCAAGCCAGAACTGTCGAGCTCCTGAAAGGTTTATGGTGAGAGTGGGACGACAATTCTCTACCACCATCACCGCCTGAGAGAGCAGCTCGTCCGACAGACGCACTACCACCTGAGGAGGAGGAGAGGAGGTGAGGAGGAGAGGAGGAGAGGAGAGGGCGTGTCCATCATGCAGACAGTGACAAACACGCAGACAGGAGACGCAGACAGGAGACGCAGACAGGAGACGCAGACAGGACACGCAGACAGGACACGCAGACAGGACACGCAGACAGGACACGCAGACAAGAGACGCAGACAGGAGACGCAGACAGGACACGCAGACAGGACACGCAGACAGGACACGCAGACAGGAGACGCAGACAGGAGACGCAGACAGGAGACGCAGACAGGAAACGCAGACAGGAGACGCAGACAGGAGACGCAGACAGGACACGCAGACAGGACACGCAGACAGGACACGCAGACAGGAGACGCAGACAGGAGACGCAGACAGGACACGCAGACAGGAGACGCAGACAGGAGACGCAGACAGGACACGCAGACAGGAGACGCAGACAGGAGACGCAGACAGGAGACAGAGACAGGACACGCAGACAGGAGACGCAGACAGGAGACGCAGACAGGAGACGCAGACAGGACACGCAGACAGGAGACGCAGACAGGACACGCAGACAGGACACGCAGACAGGACACGCAGACAGGAGACGCAGACAGGAGACGCAGACAGGACACGCAGACAGGAGACGCAGACAGGAGACGCAGACAGGAGACAGAGACAGGACACGCAGACAGGAGACGCAGACAGGACACGCAGACAGGAGACGCAGACAGGAGACGCAGACAGGAGACGCAGACAGGACACGCAGACAGGAGACGCAGACAGGAGACAGAGACAGGAGACGCAGACAGGAGACGCAGACAGGAGACGCAGACAGGAGACGCAGACAGGAGACGCAGACAGGAGACAGAGACAGGAGACGCAGACAGGAGACGCAGACAGGAGACACAGACAGGAGACGCAGACAGGAGACGCAGACAGGAGACGCATTCACTCAGACCATAACACTGTGGAGTCTCAGACCTGGAGACTGCAAACAAGTTTGTGTGTGTGTGTGCATGGTGTGTGTGTGTGTGTGCGCGCATGGCGTGTGTGTGTGTGTGTGTGTGTGCGTACGCATGGTGTGTTTGTGTGTGTTTGCATGGTGTGTGTGAGAGTGCATGGTTTGTGTGTGTGTGCGTTTGATGAAAAGATTCAAACACAGTAATGATGAACATTGTAATGATCAGACTGTCAGTTTGAGCAAATATTTGAAATTAGTGTGTGTGTGCATGGTGTGTGTGTGGTGTGTTGTATTGTGTTGTGTGAGACGCACTTGGAGGGAATCATGGATAGTTCCCTCGTTCATGTAAATGGGTTTATACAGACTCTAGAAACACACACAATATCCACACACACTCCAACCTGCTCTGGGTTGTGTTGCATCTGGGTTGTGTACCTCTCCCACACAGTTCTCCTTCTGTAGATACTTCCTCACTGCTGCCCAGACCTGGCTCTTGGGGAGAACAGCGCCCCCTGTGGCCTCTTCGAAGATTTCATACGATCCATATTTCTTCAACACACACTGCATGATCCCCACAGCCTGAAACACACAACACACAACTGAACACACACTGCATGATCCCCACGGCCTGAAACACACAACACCTGTGAACCCCCTGACCCTTGTGATTTCACACCCTGACCTCTGTGATGTCACACCTGTGACCCCTGACCTCTGTGATGTTCCACCTGTGGACCCCTGACCCCTGTGATGTCACACCTTGACCTCTGTGATGTCACACCCTGACCTCTGTGACGTCACACCTGTGACCCCTGACCTCTGTGATGTCACACCTGTGACCCCTGACCTCTGTGATGCTCCACTTGTGGACCCCTGACCCCTGTGATGTCACACCCTGACCTCTGTGATGTCACACCTGTGACCCCTGACCTCTGTGATGTTCCACCTGTGGACCCCTGACCCCTGTGATGTCACACCTTGACCTCTGTGATGTCACACCCTGACCTCTGTGACGTCACACCTGTGACCCCTGACCTCTGTGATGTCACACCTGTGACCCCTGACCTCTGTGATGCTCCACTTGTGGACCCCTGTGATGTCACACCCTGACCTCTGTGATGTCACACCTGTGACCCCTGACCTCTGTGATGTCACACCCTCTAGTACCTACTAGAGGGTGTGACATGACCTGAGATGACCTCTGTTGTGATTTAGGGCTATACAAGAATAAATGGTACTGTACTGTACTCTATCGTATCGTAAATTGTAGTGTATCGTATTGTATCGTATCGTATCGTATCGTATCGTACCGTACCGTATCGTACCTGGCTGAGGAACAGGGCGGAGGCCTGTCTGTACTTGTCCAGCACAGCAGAGAGGTCGGTCTCTTCGTACTCAAACTGAGGCTCGTACTGAAAACCCGAGGTGAAGAATCTGTCCTTCTCCTGCTGCAGGTTTGTGGGCCGCAGCGCCACCAGCAGGCAGGGCCGGGAACTACAGCTGCTCCTGGGAATGTGAGGCAGCGAGGAGGCGGGGCGCATCAGGCCAGCTCTGTTCCTGCAAGACATGTGACATCACCACTATGACATCATCAACATGTGACACCACTGAGACATTATCAACATGTGACATCACCACTATGACATCATCAACATATGACATCACCACTATGACATCATCAACATGTCACAGTGGTGGGGTTAGGGGTGAGGGTCGATTTAGGGGTGCGGGTTTTCTCCTTTAGAGTATTAGAAGGACCTTTGAAGTCAGGAAGACCAGGCCAATGAAAACCCTGGAGGTGATTTTGTTTCCTGTGTTTACAGTCAGCTCTGTCTGTGACTGTATCATCAGAGTTATACACTTCCTGAGGAAAGGTCTGGAAGAAGTTTGGACAGGTGACCCCTGACCTTCTGACCATGGTCACATGACCCGTAACCTTCTGACCATGGTCACATGACCCCTGACCTTCTGACCATGGTCAGGTGACCCCTGACCTTGGTCACATGACCCCTAACCTTCTGACCATGGTCACATGACCCCTGACCTTCTGACCATGGTCACATGACCCCTCACCTTTTGACCATGGTCAGGTGACCCCTGACCTTCTGACCATGGTCAGGTGACCCCTGACCTTCTGACCATGGTCACATGACACCTGACCTTCTGACCATGGTCACATGACTCCTCACCTTCTGAACATGGTCACATGACCCCTAACCTTCTGACCATGGTTACATGACCCCTGACCTTCTGACCATGGTCACATGACCCCTGACCTTCTGACCATGGTCACATGACCCCTCACCTTCTGAACATGGTCACATGACCCCTAACCTTCTGACCATGGTCAGGTGACCCCTGACCTTCTGACCATGGTCACATGATCTCTAACCTTCTGACCATGGTCACATGACCCCTAACCTTCTGACCATGGTCAAATGACTGCTAACCTTCTGACCATTGTCACATGACCCCTAACCTTCTGACCATGGTGACATGACCTCTAACCTTCAGACCATGGTCACATGACCCCTAACCTTCTGACTATGGTCACATGACCCCTGACCTTCTGACCATGGTCAGGTGACCCCTGACCTTCTGACCATGGTCAGGTGACCCCTACCCTTCAGACCATGGTCAGGTGACCCCTGACCTTCTATGGGACATGGGCAGTAGTTTGAGGAAAATTAAGAAGCAGAAAACAGTCTGTTTGCTCCAAAACTGACATGACTGCGGTGGCTTGTATAGGACAATGAAGAGTATTGGAGGAGATTGTTTTTGTTGTATTTTAAAAGACACATATTCAAAAGACGGAAACTTCCCAAGAGACATTCTATGGGAGACAAAGTGGTCTCTAAAAATGGCAGCTAAGCCTCCTCCTTTTTTGTTTTCCCGTATTTCAGATTCAAATTTGAAATTTGGTGGTGATGCTTCTATTAAAACTGCATTTCCTGAATTTTGGTCAAGCCATGTTTCAGCCATGAACATAAGATCAAGATTATGAGAACAAATAAAATTATTGATTAAAAAAGACTAGTCACAAAGAGATCTGACATTAAGCGTAGCAAGTTTCAAAGTTTCAGGATCAGCGGTTTCTGTAATGTATTCTTTGTGTTATCACTAAGGGAATGGCACAGGTGGCTTCATGACAGGGCCCCAGCCGGGTCTCTCCTCTAACTAGACTGCCAGTAGCTGCGAAGCAGAGACCCTGTGCATCCTAGTGTTTAGAGAAAAGAGGGGAAGGGGAAGGCGGGGGAGGAGGATGGAGAGGTGGGTGGTTCTTGGGAGTTGAAAGAGGGGGGCAGGGATCTAGCTAATATGGGTGTGAGAGGAATAGTCTTCATCGCCGATTTTATTAGCCCTGCAGAGTGTTCAGGTAGGTCTAACAGTGAAGGCGAGGATGAAAAACAAAGGCAGGTGTCCCCATTCTCTCTTGATGGAGTGGACGTGGCAGGGGGGACCCAAGACAGGTCCATGGGAGGTGGCGAGGGAGTCTTTGATGGAGGGGCAGGTTGATAAAGCTGTTTCAGCTACAGTTGAACCTGATGAAATGTCACACAACAAAGAGACAAAGTTAATCTTTTACTTGTTACATTGTACAAGGAGAATGTCTTGACAGAGGCAAGGCACAGACCCCAGCCTCTCTCAGGACAAGTCTGAAGATTCACAGATGGCAAGCCCCTTTTGGTAGAACAAGACACACCTTCGTATGCAGATGGGAAAGGAAGAAACCAACACAACAAAAGACACTTAGCATATGAGCTCCCCAGACCTCCCGGTGTCTTCCTGAAGCTAAAGTGAATTACAATACAGAGCATTCAGCACATAGCCACATATGATTTACCAAAATGATAACTTAAGTTACATTCCAATAACATTCCCTCCTTTTTATACTTTTGATAAATCAAACAATCTATTTTTAAACATGGAGAACATGGAGAACTGAAAATGAAAAAACACACATCAAAACTGAACAAGACAAATTTTTCATAGTACAATTTCATATTGTTGTTCCATAAACTATTCCCCCTATTGAGACATACATGGCTCAAAACTGAACAATGTATTAACTTGAAATGTATTAACTTTGGTTATCAAATTCAACACCACGCAAACGCCCAAAAGCCCGAAAACCCAAAGTCCATTTTCACAGTCCATAGTCAGTCCATTTGACACTTCCTCTCGACCCCTCCTCATGTTTGGTTATGACCAGAAATGTCCACTCTGTTCCTGTTTCGAAACTCTTCTCTGTCTGCGTTTCCGACGCAAGACTAGCAGCAAGCCGTTCTCCAACAGCGACACAAAGATGAACTTTCAATTCTCACGTCCATTTAACTTGAACAAACGGCCAGCGCCCTCCGTGGGCCTGCGCGCTTTGATCCTTGCAAATCGGCCCGTGATTATTCGTCAGCAGCTTCCGGTGCGGGGGGGGTTTGTGTGGAGGGTCGTTTCGTAGGTGTCGATGGCTGTATGGAGATGGCGATGGGGTGGGTTTTCTGTCCCACAATGGAAAATAGGTGGATTTTGTTGCTTTGAAGCTTTGGCAGGGATGTGGGATTTTTCTCAAAAACAAGAAGCACATTTGTTAATACATTTCAGAATCAAAACATAAGGTGAAGGGTAATTCTAAACCAAGAAAACTTTGACAAAGGAAAACGAAGAGGACACACAGAACAAAAAAGGACACAGACAAACAAAGAAACACATGGCCAGAGGACAAAGGACCACATGGCCACCCAAAATGGCCGCCCTACACAATGCTTGCAATTTAACTATTTTTTAGGTCTTTTTACAATGTCCAATTCCAAATTTTGAGTAATTTAAAGGTCTTTAAACATCCAATTTCAATGTAGCTTATTTAGATGTCTATAAATGTCCAATTTCAGTTTAGAAGTAATGTGGAAGTTCAGTCTGAAGTAATTCAATTCTAACACATTCATCATACAGGCTAACTTCTTTAATTCAAAATGAACCCTGTTCACTTTTAACTGCAGTAAAAAGTAGTCCCCGACTTACTCTTAATAATAACCCCGTTATTATACAGTCTATGATAGTCCCCGACTATCTAAAGATAAACCCCGTTATCCCGGCCTCGACTGTCTGCAATATAGTCCCCGACTATTTAAAAAGGATAATCCCCGTTATCCCAGGCCTTTTTTAATTTGAATCCCCGACTCAAAAAGTAAAATACCCTTTTGAATGAAACCCCGTTCATTCGAGCTCTGTAAAAGTCCTTGACTAAAGGCATAACTCTGCGTTATCCTAAATGAACGTGTTCATGTGAACTTCACACTACTTCCTGGATTACTTTTGGACATAATTTAGTGTTTAGAACTTGCCTTTGTTGCGATTTCATCAGGAAAAAACTGTAGTTCTCCCGTCGACTCCAACCCAGGGCTGTCCTGCCTCAAACCTGGAGTTCCAATGCAGTTCCGAATGCAGAAGGCCTTGTTGTTGCTCCTGGAAGTCCATGTTTGAGACAAGCTCAGCTCCTGTAAGAAGTGTTGGGATCTGGATTCGAAGGACCAAAATATGTTAACGCTGGTTCAGCCACGGTTTATCCTTCGATGATGAATGGACACTACAAATTCTGCTTAGATATATAAAAAGGTTTAATATATAAAAAGACAGAATACAAGATACAGACAAGTGGCAGACTGCTGTTCCAGTCTGGGTCCTCTCCCTGGCAAACCCAAAGCAAAAGACCGCGCTTCAGAAACAGGCTATCGATGAAAAGCACACAGTCACATGACATGATAATTGAAGACATATGTCCCAACATCCTTAAGTAAGGACAATACCTCCTTTCTCCAGGACAAACAGTAGCCCCTCTCAAAGTAAGCCTGAGGCTACTCTAAACAGATGTTTTCCTGTGTTCTTGCCTTAATTTAACTTCCTGTGTTTCATGGCTGGGGGATGATTCCATACATTCTTGCACTCTGCTTACTACTAGATTTTAGATCAATACTAGACTAACGTTACATTTATTAATATGATAATAACACAATAACATACTCCATTGACACAGGTGGTTGAGGAAACCCCAGCACAGGCCTGTCTGCTGTAGGCTGGGGTGAGGATGGGGGCTTCAGAGGCGCTGTAGATGAAGAAGGCGTGGCTGCTTTGGAGCAGGCTGGGGATGAGGATGTTGGTGGTGGTGGTGGTCGTGCTGCTGGTGCTGCTACTGGTGATGATGCAGCTGCTGCTGGTGATGATACAGCTGCTGCTGGTGATGATGCAGCTGCTGCTGGTGACAGTGGAGGTGTTGAGATCCTTTGAGGTGGTGGAGGTGTTGAGATCCTTTGAGGCGGTGATGGTGTTGAGATCCTTCGAGGTGGTGGTGGTGTTGAGATCCTTCGAGGTGGTGGTGGTGTTGAGATCCTTCGAGGTGGTGGTGGTGTTGAGATCCTTTGAGGCGGTGATGGTGTTGAGATCCTTCGAGGTGGTGATGGTGTTGAGATCCTTCGAGGTGGTGATGGTGTTGAGATCCTTCGAGGCGGTGATGGTGGTGGTGTTGAGATCCTTCGAGGTGGTGGTGGTGTTGAGATCCTTTGAGGCGGTGATGGTGTTGAGATCCTTTGAGGCGGTGATGGTGTTGAGATCCTTCGAGGTGGTGATGGTGTTGAGATCCTTCGAGGTGGTGATGGTGTTGAGATCCTTCGAGGCGGTGATGGTGGTGGTGTTGAGATCCTTCGAGGTGGTGGTGGTGTTGAGATCCTTTGAGGCGGTGATGGTGTTGAGATCCTTTGAGGCGGTGATGGTGTTGAGATCCTTTGAGGCGGTGATGGTGTTGAGATCCTTCGAGGCGGTGATGGTGTTGAGATCCTTCGAGGCGGTGATGGTGGTGGTGTTGAGATCCTTCGAGGTGGTGGTGGTGTTGAGATCCTTTGAGGCGGTGATGGTGTTGAGATCCTTCGAGGTGGTGGAGGTGTTGAGATCCTTCGAGGTGGTGGTGGTGTTGAGATCCTTCGAGGTGGTGGAGGTGTTGAGATCCTTCGAGGTGGTGGTGGTGTTGAGATCCTTCGAGGTGGTGGTGGTGTTGAGATCCTTCGAGGTGGTGGTGGTGTTGAGATCCTTCGAGGTGGTGGTGGTGTTGAGATCCTTCGAGGTGGTGGAGGTGTTGAGATCCTTCGAGGTGGTGGTGGTGTTGAGATCCTTCGAGGTGGCGGAGGTGTTGAGATCCTTCGAGGTGGTGGTGGTGTTGAGATCCTTCGAGGTGGTTGTGGTGTTGAGATCCTTCGAGGTGGTGGAGGTGCAGAGACTTTTGGAGTTGGCTTCCTCCCTTTCGATGGCTGCACGCGCTGCGCAGGCTGAGGTCTCAGGGCAAAAGAAAGGTTATCCATCAACACTTTTACTCCGTAAGTGTTCAGATGTGGCCCTTTCCCTTCAAAAAGCTCATGCCTATTCCAGAACAGATTAAAATTCTCAATGAAGGCAAGTCCTCTGCGTGAACATTCGTTGAGTAGGAAAGTATTTAGCTGATACAGACGACTGAATTTCATTTGCTTCCCGTCCACATTTGGTAGTGGGCCACTGATAACGATTGTTGCGTCCATTTTAGCAAGGTCGTCCAATAAGAGAATAATCTCGTTTCAACTTTTCACTTGTGTTGTCATAGACGTCTACTGCCCCCACGTGGATCAACAATCTTTTTACCCCGCCGGTCTAATATATTTATATATATATATGTATATACATATATATATACACATATATTTATATATATATATACACACACACACACATATATATATATATGTATATATATATATATATACATATACATATATATACATATATACATACATATATACATACATATATATATATACATACATATATACATATATATACAGTGCTTTGCGAAAGTATTCGGCCCCCTTGAACCTTTCTTCAAACATAGGCTTCAAACATAAAGATATAAAATTTAATTTTTTTGTCAAGAATCAACAACAAGTGGGACACAATCGTGAAGTGGAACAAAATTTATTGGATCATTTAAACTTTTTTAACAAATAAAAAACTGAAAAGTGGGGCGTGCAATATTATTCGGCCCCCTTGCGCTAATACTTTGTAGTGCCACCTTTTGCTGCAATTACAGCTGCAAGTCGCTTGGGGTATGTCTCTATCAGTTTTGCACATCGAGAGACTGGAATTCTTGCCCATTCTTCCTTGCAAAACAGCTGGAGCTCAGTGAGGTTGGATGGAGAGCGTTTGTGAACAGCAGTCTTCAGCTCTTTCCACAGATTCTGGATTGGATTCAGGTCTGGACTTTGACTTGGCCATTCTAACACCTGGATACGTCTATTTGTGAACCATTCCATTGTAGATTTGGCTTTATGTTTTGGATCATTGTCCTGTTGGAAGATAAATCTCCGTCCCAGTCTCAGGTCTTTTGCAGACTCCAACAGGTTTTCTTCCAGAATGGTCCTGTATTTGGCTCCATCCATCTTCCCATCAATTTTAGCCATCTTCCCTGTCCCTGCTGAAGAAAAGCAGGCCCAAAGCATGATGCTGCCACCACCATGTTTGACAGTGGGGATGGTGTGTTCAGGGTGATGAGCTGTGTTGCTTTTACGCCAAACATATCGTTTTGCATTGTGGCCAAAAAGTTTGATTTTGGTTTCCTCTGACCAGAGCACCTTCTTCCACATGTTTGGTGTGTCTCCCAGGTGGCTTGTGGCAAACTTTAAACCAGACTTTTTATGGATATCTTTGAGAAATGGCTTTCTTATTGCCACTCTTCCATAAAGGCCAGATTTGTGCAGTGCACGACTGATTGTTGTCCTATGGACAGACTCTCCCACCTCAGCTGTAGTTATCTGCAGTTCATCCAGAGTGATCATGGGCCTCTTGGCTGCATCTCTGATCAGTCTTCTCCTTGTTTGAGATGAAAGTTTGGAGGGACGGCCGGGTCTTGGTAGATTTACAGTGGTCTGATACTCCTTCCATTTCAATATAATTGCTTGCACAGTGCTCCTTGAGATGTTTAAAGCTTGGGAAATCTTTTTGTATCCAAATCCGGCTTTAAACTTCTCCACAACAGTATCTCGGACCTGCCTGGTGTGTTCCTTTGTCTTCATGGTTCTCTCTGCGCTTTAAACAGAACCCTGAGACTATCAAAGAGCAGGTGCATTTATACGGAGACTTGATTACACACAGGTGCATTCTATTTATCATCATCAGTCATTTAGGACAACATTGGAGCTGTATCCGAATGTCCACACTATACCCTATATAGTGCACTATATAGTGGTCACGCCATTTTGTAGGGGTGTCCAAATGTCCAGAGAGAAAAAGTAGTGCACTGGAATTTTCCCACAATGCATCTCGAAAATGTAGTGAACAGCAGTGGTCACTATACGGAAGTAAAATGGCGGAGGCAGCGAGAGACGTGTTGGAACAGGAGCGGGACATGAGGTATAAATGTGAGTTTTTGATCATCATAAATATGGAAATGTGTAAACCGTGATATATTGTTGACAATAAGCTGCCAAAATACACATTTGAAGTCAGAATACCATTGCCTTTTACTGCGAAACAACGTACCAATGTTATGCCGCGAAAGTGTTAGCATTTTCGCATATCATAACATTAACATCTCAAGCTAACGCTACAGAAACGGGTCACTGGTGGTCAGTCATTAATGTTATTAAAGCATTTGTGTTATATGTATAGCATTCATAACTAGACATTTGTAAAGAACTACATACATTCAACAATTTCTTTTTAGATATTTACATATTCAATTGTTTTTGTTTTTATTTAAATAGGCCAAAACACAGATTATTCAAACATTTAATTAATGTTGGGGTGGAAAGTGCTGCTGCCATCCGTCCACGCAGCTCCTGTCCACACTGCTGATCAGGCTGGTGCTGCTGATGCTGGTCCTGTCCACGCAGCTCCTGTCCACACTGCTGATCAGGCTGGTGCTGCTGATGCTGGTCGTGCTCATCATCAGGCCCTGGCTCCTCTTCCACTGGCTCCCAGAGATCACCATCGCTGATGCAGATGTTGTGCAGGATGGCGCAACAGGCAGTCACCTGGACTGCAAAGGTGGGTTGGACTTCCAGTGCCTTGGAAAAAAATGGATCGCCATCTTGCCTTCATCATGTCAAACGCTCTTTCTGTTACAGATCGTGCCCGTGCATGGTGCTGGTTGAAGCGGGCTTCCACTGGGCTCCAAACAGGCTCTCTGTATGGAGTGAGGAGTGTGATGGGCTGACGGAGGCAAGGGTAACCCCCATCCCCAAGGAGGACGTGTCCATTTGGGGGATAGAGCCGGTGGACGTAGAGGGGGCTGTTTTTAAGCACCCGAGAATTGTGCACAGATCCGGGGTAGCCAACAAACAAATCAATAAATAAGCCACGGTGATTACACACAGCCTGCATTTGAATAGAATAAAACAATTTCCTGTTAAAATAACACTGTGCATTTTCTTGAAGGGGCTTTATTCTGATGTGGCAGCCGTCGATGCTCCCCACAACATTATTGAGAGCAGCTGATCCAGCCAGCAACTGAAACCCAGCTGCAACTTGGGGAAGTTCCTCCAGGGAAGGGAAATGAATTATTTGGCCACGCATTTGAAGGATCTGGTTGGCCACCCTGTGGATCACATCGTGGACTGTGGACTGAGGCATGTCAAATGCCCTGGCGACAACACGGTACGCGGTGCCACTGGCCAACCAAAAGAGGAAGACCAACACCTCCATGTCCTGGCTCCAGCCCTGGTGATGAGCACTCCTCAGGTGGCTAACCAGACGGGTGATGGTGGTTCGAGTGAGACGAAAATCGGGGCGAAGGTCAGACTGGCCATTTAAGTACATGCTGAGTAGGGGTACATGGTGGTTCAGTCGGCAGTACACCGGTGGTTCACCCTAAAACAAAACAAAAATTCTCTTAAACTTAATATGATACTTCTAGATTCATTTTTTAATTCTGTATCTGCACTTTTAGTTATGAGTGCAGACACAGGAATAAGTACTCATTTTTCATTTTGAGATTTAAAAATGTAAATAAAAATGAAGAGTATATAGCTGAAGTCATGTTCTTTTGTGCCCTGGCATTGATTTTGCCAAATGTATTGTAGGGAGCTGGAGCTGCCCTGAGACAACTGAAGTAGAAACCCTCACTACATCACTCGCACCTAATAACACACAATGGCCAAGCAAATTCTATTATTGTTTAATGATTAAGTACTCATTTTTCATTTAGAAAAAATGAGTACTTAATCCATTTCCCTTGCTATGGTTTTGTGTTCTTTCAACCAATAAAATATTTTAATGTTCTTGCATTTTAAGTGAGTGTGTCTATACAATGTGTTTTCTTGTTGAAATATGTCTAAATGTATATGACTAATGTGTTTCTCATTGACTGAGAATAGTATTTTGAATTAGTAAGTACACCAAAAGTACTATAATTTACCCAGTAGATGGTGCTAATGCTATATAGACAAAGGACGAATACAATACTTACACGACGCCTTGCTAATGAACGAAGAGCCATTCTCCTCCTCGCCCTCATCGCCTGTCTTTGCCTTCTCTCTGTTCGGCGGTGTTTAATTCGCATTATGATAACTTGTATAATAGTTATGAAAAACACCGCAAAATTCAGTGGAGGTGCCATTTCACCGGTGTTAGAGGAGCCGGTCAGGTGGCGGGAATATGAAAGACGTCAACCAAAATTCATAAATATGAATATAAATTGTAAAAACATTTTATACATGTATATTAGACAAATATTGATATTTTAATATACTTTTATTTATATATAACATTATATTGAGCCAATGACATGTGACAGGGGTGTGATGTGGGCCGCGGCTAAAAATAGTGTGCAGCTGTCCGAATCGCCAACAGAATGAGTGCACTGACTCACTCACTCAGTCGCTATATAGTCCCGAACTATATAGTGAGTGAGTGAATAGGGTATAGTGTGGACATTCGGATACAGCCTGGATCATTCAAAGATCCTCACTGAACTTCTGGACTGAGTTTGCTGCACTGAAAGTAAAGGGGCCCAATAATATTGCACGCCCCACTTTTCAGTTTTTTATTTGTTAAAAAAGTTTAAATTATCCAATACATTTTGTTCCACTTCACGATTGTGTCCCACTTGTTGTTGATTCATGACAAAAAATTATATTTTCATATCTTTATGTTTGAAGCCTGAAATGTGGAAAAATGTTGAAAGGTTCAAGGGGGCCGAATACTTTCGCAAGGCACGATATATAGATATATAGATATATAGATATATAGATAGATAGATAGATAGATAGATAGATAGATAGATAGATAGATAGATAGATAGATAGATAGATAGATAGATAGATATTCTCTGTATGATAATATCACTGTTCAGTCAAACTTCTCCATACCGACTGTATTTTGTTAAAAATGTTAGTTTAAAAAAGGAAAAGAACGCACCTTAGTCCTGCGTTGACCGACATGGAGCTCTCACTGCGGCGAATGAAGCCGGACTGTGCCAAACCAGGACTGGTCTGGCTCCGGGACGGGGTCCAGGCCCCGCCGCGCCACGGGGGCCTCAAAGATGGCCGCCGCTCAGATGTGGAAGCAGGAGACAGTTCTGAGGACCCCTCCCTCCTCTGGGACGCTCTGGGACACAGCGACTTGGAGACAGCTTTAGGCGTGAGCGGCTCCGGCACCAGACTCTGAGGCACAGCTCGGTCTTCACAATCTGTGTTCAGGTCCGTGTTCAGGTCCGTGTTCAGGTCCGTGTTCAGGTCCATGTTCAGGTCCGTGTTTCCGACAGGAGACCTTGAGGTGGGTTCTTTGGGTGAAGCGAAGTCGGCCATCTTGTCCTGGAGCGTTATGGGGGCGTCACAGCGGTTCAGGTCGCCGCCCGTCTCTTCCACATAAGGAGGTTCTGAGGTAGTCCTGGTCTTCTGTGATGTCATGTTGCTTTTGGGCGATAAAATACTGTCAATCATCTTCTTCTGTGGCGTTATGGGTAATTCACTCTGGTTTTTGACTGGACTTTTGTCAACCAAAGAATATCTTAGTACAGTCTTGGATTTTGTCGGCACTGGTTTATTGGTTTTAGCCATCGAGGACTCGGTCGCCATCTTGTATTGAGGTCCTGTGTCGGAGGAGGGTCTGGATTTGTCCGTCCTGACTCTGGAAGCAGACCTTGCAATCACTTTGGGCTTAGAGGGAAGCGCTGTGGCACTTTTAGTCCCTGAATACTGCTCCGACACGTGGAGTCCTGGTCCTGGTCCTGGTCCTGGACCTGGTCCTGGTCCTGGCAGCCCGCCCATGGAGAGGCGGTACAGCCTTTTGTCTGATTTGTCGCGTGAAGGTGATTTTGCGATGATCTTGGGTTTTGTGGGAGACTTCCTGGATGAGGATGCATCACTGAGGACCTTGTTTGTGGAAGTACAAAGAGACATGTTGGTGTTTCTAGAAGGCGTTCTGCTACTTTTCTCATTTGAAGCAGATTTGGAAGAAGACTTTGATGGTGTTTCAGCTCTGGATGTGTCGGTGCAGGTGAAGGGTAAATCCAAATAACTTGGCTTTGAAACAGTTTCCACTACACTTTTCAAACCACATGTTGACATTGAATGCTCTTGGGTCTTTGCTCTTTGGGCTTCATCTATGCTGACGTCATCCGTGTTCAAACCGTTCAGTCCAGCAGCTGATCCCACATTGTTTTCTGACTTAGTAAACTTGTCACTCCCATTGTTTGAACTAGTGTCCTCCTCTCTCTTGGACAATGGGACCATGTGTCCACTGCAGGAGTTGTCCATAGACTTGTACTCCATGGTGTTTGATGGTGTCAGAGCAGTTTCTAGTCGATCGTGGCTCGTCAGAACCATCGTGGCCTTTGCTGCCGTGTTGAAGTGGCCCTGTGGCAGTGATCTGGATCCAGGATCCAGATGAGATGTGGGAGCCGCCGGGTCCATCTCCAGAGTGTTTCTGTCCAACAAAGCGGTCTTTGCAGCGAGAGAAGGCGACATGTTGAAGTCCTTTGATATGTCGGGGAAAAGTAGGGTGGATTTTCTATCGTTTGGTGACGTCGAAGGCAGCGTGGTGTGGACTTGGTCTGATTGAAGAGCAGATCCCAGAGCGGAGTCTGTCCCAGCTGGTGACATCTGCTCTGGATCTGACTGATGCGACAGATGAGCATAGGGGCGTGGCCTCGGAGGGGACGCCATCTTGGCTGAGGGCGCTGAGCTCGGGGACTCCTGTTGGGGCCCTCTGGGAGTCGATGGGGATCGATGCAGAGTCCAGAACCATCACCACTGGAGGAAACAGACACGGTACAAAAGTCAGACACAACAAACACATGAGAAGGCCCTGCTCCTTCTTCCACTGAAGTGAGAGAGTCTGAAGGTAAAGGAGACAGTAGTGAGAGAGTCTGAGGGTAAAGGAGACAGTAGTGAGAGAGTCTGAAGGTAAAGGAGACAGTAGTGAGAGAGTCTGAAGGTAAAGGAGACAGTAGTGAGAGAGTCTGAAGGTAAAGGAGACAGTAGTGAGAGAGTCTGAGGGTAAAGGAGACAGTAGTGAGAGAGTCTGAAGGTAAAGGAGACAGTAGTGAGAGAGTCTGAGGGTAAAGGAGACAGTAGTGAGAGAGTCTGAGGGTAAAGGAGACAGTAGTGAGAGAGTCTGAAGGTAAAGGAGACAGTAGTGAGAGAGTCTGAAGGTAAAGGAGACAGTAGTGAGAGAGTCTGAGGGTAAAGGAGACAGTAGTGAGAGAGTCTGAAGGTAAAGGAGAGAGTAGTGAGAGAGTCTGAAGGTAAAGGAGACAGTAGTGAGAGAGTCTGAGGGTAAAGGAGACAGTAGTGAGAGAGTCTGAAGGTAAAGGAGACAGTAGTGAGAGAGTCTGAAGGTAAAGGAGACAGTAGTGAGAGAGTCTGAAGGTAAAGGAGACAGTAGTGAGAGAGTGAAGGTAAAGGAGACAGTAGTGAGAGAGTCTGAAGGTAAAGGAGACAGTAGTGAGAGAGTCTGAAGGTAAAGGAGACAGTAGTGAGAGAGTCTGAAGATAAAGGAGACAGTAGTGAGAGAGTCTGAAGGTAAAGGAGACAGTAGTGAGAGAGTCTGAAGGTAAAGGAGACAGTAGTGAGAGAGTCTGAAGGTAAAGGAGACAGTAGTGAGAGAGTCTGAAGGTAAAGGAGACAGTAGTGAGAGAGTCTGAAGGTAAAGGAGACAGTAGTGAGAGAGTCTGAAGGTAGAGAGACAGTAGTGAGAGAGTCTGAAGGTAGAGAGACAGTAGTGAGAGAGTCTGAAGGTAAAGGAGACAGTAGTGAGAGAGTCTGAAGGTAAAGGAGAGAGTAGTGAGAGAGTCTGAAGGTAAAGGAGACAGTAGTGAGAGAGTCTGAAGGTAAAGGAGACAGTAGTGAGAGAGTCTGAAGGTAAAGGAGACAGTAGTGAGAGAGTCTGAAGGTAAAGGAGACAGTAGTGAGAGAGTCTGAAGGTAAAGGAGACAGTAGTGAGAGAGTCTGAAGGTAAAGGAGACAGTAGTGAGAGAGTCTGAAGGTAAAGGAGACAGTAGTGAGAGAGTCTGAAGGTAAAGGAGACAGTAGTGAGAGAGTCTGAAGGTAGAGAGACAGTAGTGAGAGAGTCTGAGGGTAAAGGAGACAGTAGTGAGAGAGTCTGAAGGTAAAGGAGACAGTAGTGAGAGAGTCTGAAGGTAAAGGAGACAGTAGTGAGAGAGTCTGAGGTAAAGGAGACAGTAGTGAGAGAGTCTGAAGGTAAGGAGACAGATGAGAGAGTCTGAGGTAAGAGACAGAGTGAGAGAGTCTGAAGGTAAAGGAGACAGTAGTGAGAGAGTCTGAAGGTAAAGGAGACAGTAGTGAGAGAGTCTGAAGGTAAAGGAGACAGTAGTGAGAGAGTCTGAAGGTAAAGGAGACAGTAGTAGAGAGAGAGTCTGAAGGTAAAGGAGACAGTAGTGAGAGAGTCTGAAGGTAAAGGAGACAGTAGTGAGAGAGTCTGAAGGTAAAGGAGACAGTAGTGAGAGAGTCTGAAGAGTAGAGAGTCTGAAGGTAGAGAGACAGTAGTGAGAGAGTCTGAAGGTAAAGGAGACAGTAGTGAGAAGTTGAGGTAAGAGACAGTAGTGAGAGAGTCTGAAGGTAAAGGAGACAGTAGTGAGAGAGTCTGAGGTAAAGGAGACAGTAGTGAGAGAGTCTGAAGGTAAAGGAGAGTAGTGAGAGAGTCTGAAGGTAAAGGAGACAGTAGTGAGAGAGTCTGAAGGTAAAGGAGACAGTAGTGAGAGAGTCTGAAGGTAAAGGAGACAGTAGTGAGAGAGTCTGAAGGTAAAGGAGACAGTAGTGAGAGAGTCTGAAGGTAAAGGAGACAGTAGTGAGAGAGTCTGAGGTAAAGGAGACAGTAGTGAGAGAGTGAGAGAGTCTGAAGGTAAAGGAGACAGTAGTGAGAGAGTCTGAAGTAAAGGAGACAGTAGTGAGAGAGTCTGAAGGTAAAGGAGACAGTAGTGAGAGAGTCTGAAGGTAAAGGAGACAGTAGTGAGAGAGTCTGAAGGTAAAGGAGACAGTAGTGAGAGAGTCTGAAGGTAAAGGAGACAGTAGTGAGAGAGTCTGAAGGTAAAGGAGACAGTAGTGAGAGAGTCTGAAGGTAAAGGAGACAGTAGTGAGAGAGTCTGAAGGTAAAGGAGACAGTAGTGAGAGAGTCTGAAGGTAAAGGAGACAGTAGTGAGAGAGTCTGAAGGTAAAGGAGACAGTAATGAGAGAGTCTGAAGGTAAAGGAGAGAGTAGTGAGAGAGTCTGAAGGTAAAGGAGACAGTAGTGAGAGAGTCTGAGGGTAAAGAGACAGTAGTGAGAGAGTCTGAACGTAAAGGAGACAGTAGTGAGAGAGTCTGAGGGTAAAGGAGACAGTAGTGAGAGAGTCTGAGGGTAAAGGAGACAGTAGTGAGAGAGTCTGAAGGTAAAGGAGACAGTAGTGAGAGAGTCTGAAGGTAAAGGAGACAGTAGTGAGAGAGTCTGAGGGTAAAGGAGACAGTAGTGAGAGAGTCTGAAGGTAAAGGAGACAGTAGTGAGAGAGTCTGAAGGTAAAGGAGACAGTAGTGAGAGAGTCTGAAGGTAGAGAGACAGTAGTGAGAGAGTCTGAAGGTAGAGAGACAGTAGTGAGAGAGTCTGAAGGTAGAGAGACAGTAGTGAGAGAGTCTCTCTGTACTCAGCAGTTCTCATTAGCATCAGGGAGTAATCGATTACTATGAAATACTGAATCGTTAACTGCAGCACGAGTTATTAAGCAAATGTGTTATTACATCATTATCACAGACTTCCACACAGACACAGACACAGACTTCCACACAGACAGACACAGACTTCCACATAGACACGGACACAGACACAGACTTCCACACAGACACAGACTTCCACGCAGACACGGACACAGACTTCCACACAGACACGGACACAGACACAGACTTCCACACAGACACAGACTTCCACACAGACACGGACACAGACTTCCACACAGACAGACACAGACTTCCACACAGACACGGACACAGACTTCCACACAGACACAGACATCCACACAGACACAGACTTCCACGCAGACACGGACACAGACTTCCACACAGACACGGACACAGACTTCCACACAGACACAGACTTCCACACAGACACAGACTTCCACACAGACAGACACAGACACGGACACAGACACAGACTTCCACACAGACACGGACACAGACTTCCACACAGACACAGACTTCCACACGGACACAGACTTCCACACAGACATCCACACAGACACAGACTTCCACACAGACACAGACTTCCACACAGACACAGACTTCAACACAGACACAGACTTCCACACAGACACAGACTTCCACACGGACACACACTTCCACACAGACAGACACAGACTTCCACACAGACACAGACTTCCACACAGACACAGACTTCCACACAGACACAGACTTCCACACAGACACGGACACAGACACAGACTTCCACACAGACACGGACACAGACTTCCACACAGACACAGACACAGACTTCCACACGGACACAGACTTCCACACAGACACAGACTTCCACACAGACACAGACTTCCACACAGACACAGACTTCCACACAGACACAGACTTCCACACAGACACAGACTTCCACACAGACACAGACTTCCACACAGACACAGACTTCCACACAGACACAGACTTCCACACAGACACAGACTTCCACACAGACAGACACAGACTTCCACACAGACACAGACTTCCACACAGACAGACACAGACTTCCACACAGACACAGACTTCCAGACACAGACACAGACTTCCACACGGACACAGACTTCCACACAGACACAGACTTCCACACGGACACAGACTTCCACACAGACACAGACTTCCACACAGACACAGACAAAGACTTCCACACGGACACAGACTTCCACACAGACACAGACTTCCACACGGACACAGACTTCCACACAGACACAGACTTCCACACAGACACAGACTTCCACACAGACAGACACAGACTTCCACACAGACACAGACTTCCACACAGACACAGACACAGACTTCCACACGGACACAGACTTCCACACAGACACAGACTTCCACACGGACACAGACTTCCACACAGACACAGACTTCCACACAGACACAGACAAAGACTTCCACACGGACACAGACTTCCACACAGACACAGACTTCCACACGGACACAGACTTCCACACGGACACAGACTTCCACACAGACACAGACTTCCACACAGACACAGACTTTCACACAGACACAGACTTCCACACAGACACAGACACAGACTTCCACACAGACACAGACTTCCACACGGACACACACTTCCACACAGACACAGACTTCCACACAGACACAGACACAGACTTCCACACAGACACAGACTTCCACACAGACACAGACTTCCACACAGACACAGACTTCCACACGGACACAGACTTCCACACAGACACAGACTTCCACACAGACACAGACTTCCACACAGACACACACTTCCACACAGACACGGACACAGACACAGACTTCCACACAGACACGGACACAGACTTCCACACAGACACAGACACAGACTTCCACACGGACACAGACTTCCACACAGACACAGACTTCCACACAGACACAGACTTCCACACAGACACAGACACAGACTTCCACACAGACACAGACTTCCACACAGACACAGACTTCCACACAGACACAGACTTCCACACGGACACAGACTTCCACACAGACACAGACTTCCACACAGGCACAGACTTCCACACAGACACAGACTTCCACACAGACACAGACACAGACTTCCACACAGACACAGACTTCCACACAGACACAGACTTCCACACAGACACAGACTTCCACACAGACACAGACACAGACTTCCACACAGACACAGACACAGACACGGACACAGACTTCCACACGGACACAGACTTCCACACAGACACAGACACAGACACAGACACAGACTTCCACACAGACACAGACTTCCACACAGACACAGACTTCCACGCAGACACAGACTTCCACACAGACACAGACTTCCACACGGACACAGACACAGACACAGACTTCCACACAGACACAGACTTCCACACAGACACAGACACAGACACAGACACAGACACAGACACAGACTTCCACACAGACACAGACACAGACACAGACTTCCACACAGACACAGACTTCCACACAGACACAGACACAGACACAGACACAGACACAGACTTCCACACAGACACAGACACAGACACAGACACAGACACAGACACAGACTTCCACACAGACACAGACACAGACACAGACTTCCACACAGACACAGACTTCCACACAGACACAGACACAGACACAGACACAGACACAGACTTCCACACAGACACAGACACAGACACAGACACAGACACAGACTTCCACACAGACACAGACACAGACACAGACACAGACTTCCACACGGACACAGACACAGACACAGACACAGACACAGACTTCCACACAGACACAGACTTCCACACAGACACAGACACAGACACAGACACAGACTTCCACACAGACACAGACACAGACACAGACACAGACACAGACTTCCACACAGACACAGACACAGACACAGACACAGACTTCCACACAGACACAGACACAGACACAGACACAGACTTCCACACAGACACAGACTTCCACACAGACACAGACTTCCACACAGACACAGACTTCCACACAGACACAGACTTCCACACAGACACAGACTTCCACACAGACACGGACACAGACTTCCACACAGACACGGACACAGACTTCCACACAGACACAGACATCCACACAGACACAGACTTCCACACAGACACAGACTTCCACACAGACACAGACATCCACACAGACACAGACTTCCACACAGACACAGACTTCCACACAGACACAGACACAGACACAGACACAGACTTCCACACAGACACAGACTTCCACACAGACACGGACACAGACTTCCACACAGACACAGACACAGACACAGACACAGACACAGACACAGACACAGACACAGACACAGACTTCCACACAGACACAGACACAGACACAGACACAGACTTCCACACAGACACAGACTTCCACACAGACACAGACTTCCACACAGACACAGACTTCCACACAGACACAGACTTCCACACAGACACAGACTTCCACACAGACACAGACACAGACTTCCACACAGACACAGACACAGACACAGACACAGACTTCCACACAGACACAGACACAGACACAGACACAGACACAGACTTCCACACAGACACAGACACAGACACAGACACAGACTTCCACACAGACACAGACACAGACACAGACACAGACTTCCACACAGACACAGACTTCCACACAGACACAGACTTCCACACAGACACAGACTTCCACACAGACACAGACTTCCACACAGACACAGACTTCCACACAGACACGGACACAGACTTCCACACAGACACGGACACAGACTTCCACACAGACACAGACATCCACACAGACACAGACTTCCACACAGACACAGACTTCCACACAGACACAGACATCCACACAGACACAGACTTCCACACAGACACAGACTTCCACACAGACACAGACACAGACACAGACACAGACTTCCACACAGACACAGACTTCCACACAGACACGGACACAGACTTCCACACAGACACAGACACAGACACAGACACAGACACAGACACAGACACAGACACAGACTTCCACACAGACACAGACACAGACACAGACACAGACTTCCACACAGACACAGACTTCCACACAGACACAGACTTCCACACAGACACAGACTTCCACACAGACACAGACTTCCACACAGACACAGACTTCCACACAGACACGGACACAGACTTCCACACAGACACAGACACAGACACAGACACAGACATCCACACAGACACAGACTTCCACACAGACACAGACACAGACACAGACACAGACACAGACTTCCACACAGACACAGACTTCCACACAGACACAGACACAGACACAGACACAGACACAGACTTCCACACAGACACAGACACAGACTTCCACACAGACACAGACACAGACACAGACACAGACACAGACACAGACACAGACTTCCACACAGACACAGACACAGACTTCCACACAGACACAGACACAGACACAGACTTCCACACAGACACAGACACAGACACAGACACAGACCTCTGCTCCCGGGGGTCGCGGAGGCTCCTTCTCCGGTATCGGCCCAGGACAGAGCGGTGTAACGGGGCAGGAGCAGGAGGAGGGGGGTGTACGGGGGGAGGACCGCGGCGGAAGCGGTGTAGAGGTGTTGGCAGAAATGACGGAGGACGCACGGTGATGACGACATGACGCAAGCATGTGTTTCTTAAAGCGAGAGACGCAGGGACGCGTTACCATGGATACGGGTGTCCCGAAAGTGAACACATTTTTCTGCAGATCATTCTTATGAACAACAATGCTAACGCTGACTTTATACAGATGCTAATGCTAACACAGACTGTATACAGATGCTAATGCTAACGCTGACTTTATACAGATGCTAATGCTAACACAGACTGTATACAGATGCTAATGCTAACGCTGACTTTATACAGATGCTAATGCTAACACAGACTGTATACAGATGCTAATGCTAACATCTTCTATCAACAGGTACAGCCTCAGACTAACAAAGTTATCACTCAACACTGGGCACTTGGTTCTGAACAGTGCGAGTGCGCCCTCTAAGGGTGAACTCCGATATAACTTATAGACAGATAATACACATGCTATTATCAGTATATCACACACTCACACTCTCCTCTGTGGCAGGGGTTCCCAAAGTTTTTAGCCCGCGACCCCCATCATAAATGCCCTGCTAACCCCCCCCCCCCCCCCCAACAGCCCTTCCGTCACATGAAATGAGCATGTATTTCCTTGATACGGAGTAACGCTTTCTAGAGACTCACGCCACTACCGAGCTGCACTGTCCAGCCCAAAAAAGGAGGCTTGCATATTTTTACTCATGTAGTGACACAGTGATGGGCTTGGTGGGCTCCCTCCTCAGCAGAAGTGGAGCGCATTTCCTGCGGCTCGCCCTCACTGTTCTCCTACCGCGGTAAAGTGGGCCGGCTTTCCGGAGTCAGCGGTAAAGAGGTCCGCACATTAAAAGCGGGCGGCCGCTTTCTGCTGTTACTTTATGCGGTTCATCCCCGCGGCTTCTCTTTCCAAAGTTACTGTCAGTAAAGGCATAGACCGGCCACCCGCTTTTAATGTGCGGACCTCTTTACCTTTGACTCCGAAAAGCCGGGCCTCTTTAACGCGCTGTTCTACCGCTGTCCTCCCTCCCTCCTCTGCCCTCTCTCCCTCCTCTGCCCTCTCTCCCTCCTCTGCCCTCCCTCCCTCCTCTGCCCTCTCTCCCTCCGCTGCCCTCTCTCCCTCCTTTGCCCTCTCTCCCTCCGCTGCCCTCTCTCCCTCCTTTGCCCTCTCTCCCTCCGCTGTCCTCCCTCCCTCCTCTGCCCTCTCTCCCTCCTCTGCCCTCTCTCCCTCCTCTGCCCTCCCTCCCTCCTCTGCCCTCTCTCCCTCCGCTGCCCTCCCTCCCTCCTCTGCCCTCTCTCCCTCCGCTGCCCTCTCTCCCTCCCTCTGCCCTCTCTCCCTCCGCTGCCCTCTCTCCCTCCTCTGCCCTCTCTCCCTCCTCTGCCCTCTCTCTCCCTCCTCTGCCCTCTCTCCCTCCTCTGCCCTCTCTCCCTCCTCTGCCCTCTCTCCCTCCTCTGCCCTCTCTCCCTCCTCTGCCCTCTCTCCCTCCTCTGCCCTCTCTCCCTCCTCTGCCCTCTCTCCCTCCGCTGCCCTCTCTCCCTCTCTCCCTCCTCTGCCCTCTCTCCCTCCGCTGCCCTCTCTCCCTCCTCTGCCTCTCCCTCCCTCCTCTGCCCTCCTCCCTCTCTCCCTCCTCTGCCCTCTCTCCCTCCTCTGCCCTCTCTCCCTCCTCTGCCCTCTCTCCCTCCTCTGCCCTCTCTCCCTCCGCTGCCCTCTCTCCCTCCTCTGCCCTCTCTCCCTCCTCTGCCCTCTCTCCCTCCGCTGCCCTCTCTCCCCTCTCTCTCCTGCTCTGCCCTCTCTCCCTCCTCTGCCCTCTCTCCCTCCGCTGCCCTCTCTCCCTCTCTCCCTCCTCTGCCCTCTCTCCCTCTCTCCCTCCTCTGCCCTCTCTCCCTCTCTCCCTCCGCTGCCCTCTCTCCCTCCTCTGCCCTCTCTCCCTCCCTGCCCTCTCTCCCTCCGCTGCCCTCTCTCCCTCCTCTGCCCTCTCTCCCTCCTCTGCCCTCTCTCCCTCCGCTGCCCTCTCTCCCTCCCTTTGCCCTCTCTCCCTCCTCTGCCCTCTCTCCCTCCTCTGCCCTCTCTCCCTCCTCTGCCCTCTCTCCCTCCTGTGCCCTCCTCCTCCCTCCGCTGCCCTCTCTCCTCTCTCCTCTCTGCTCCTCTCCCTCCCTTCTCCCTCCTCTGCCCTCTCTCCTCCGCTGCCCCTCTCCCTCCTCCCTCTCTCCCTCCCTGCCCTCTCTCCCTCCTCTGCCCTCTCTCCCTCCGCTGCCCTCTCTCCCTCCTCTGCCCTCTCTCCCTCCTCTGCCCTCTCTCCCTCCTCTGCCCTCTCTCCCTCCTCTGCCCTCTCTCCCTCCTCTGCCCTCTCTCCCTCCTCTGCCCTCTCTCCCTCCTCTGCCCTCTCTCCCTCCGCTGCCCTCTCTCCCTCCTCTGCCTCTCTCCCTCCCTCCCTCTCTCCCTCCTTTGCCCTCTCTCCCTCCTCTGCCCTCTCTCCCTCCGCTGCCCTCTCTCCTCTCTCCGCCCTCCTCCGCTGCCCTCTCTCCCTCCCTCTGCCCTCTCTCCCTCCGCTGCCCTCTCTCCCTCCTCTGCCCTCTCTCCCTCCTCTGCCCTCTCTCCCTCCTCTGCCCTCTCTCCCTCCTCTGCCCTCTCTCCCTCCTCTGTCCTCCCTCCCTCCGCTGCCCTCTCTCCCTCCTCTGCCCTCTCTCCCCTCTCCCTCCTCTGCCCTCTCTCCCTCCTCTGCCCTCTCTCCCTCCTTTACCCTCTCTCCCTCCGCTGCCCTCTCTCCCTCCGCTGCCCTCTCTCCCTCCTCTGCCCTCTCTCCCTCCTCTGCCCTCTCTCCCTCCTCTGCCCTCTCTCCCTCTCTCCCTCCTCTGCCCTCTCTCCCTCCGCTGCCCTCTCTCCCTCCTTTGCCCTCTCTCCCTCCGCTGCCCTCTCTCCCTCCGCTGCCCTCTCTCCCTCCTCTGCCCTCTCTCCCTCCTCTGCCCTCTCTCCCTCCGCTGCCCTCTCTCCCTCCTCTGCCCTCTCTCCCTCCTCTGCCCTCTCTCCCTCCTCTGCCCTCTCTCCCTCCTTTGCCCTCTCTCCCTCCGCTGCCCTCTCTCCCTCCTCTGCCCTCTCTCCTCTCTCCCTCCTTTACCCTCTCTCCCTCCGCTGCCCTCTCCCTCCGCTGCCCTCTCCTCCCTCTCTCTCCTCCTCTGCCCTCTCTCCCTCCTCTGCCCTCTCTCCCTCCTCTGCCCTCTCTCCCTCCTCTGCCCTCTCTCCCTCTCTCCCTCCTTTACCCTCTCTCCCTCCTCTGCCCTCTCTCCCTCCGCTGCCCTCTCTCCCTCCTTTGCCCTCTCTCCCTCCGCTGCCCTCTCTCCCTCCGCTGCCCTCTCTCCCTCCTTTGCCCTCTCTCCCTCCTCTGCCCTCTCTCCCTCCGCTGCCCTCTCTCCCTCCTCTGCCCTCTCTCCCTCCTCTGCCCTCTCTCCCTCCTTTGCCCTCTCTCCCTCCGCTGCCCTCTCTCCCTCCGCTGCCCTCTCTCCCTCCTCTGCCCTCTCTCCCTCCTCTGCCCTCTCTCCCTCCTCTGCCCTCTCTCCCTCCGCTGCCCTCTCTCCCTCCTTTGCCCTCTCTCCCTCCGCTGCCCTCTCTCCCTCCGCTGCCCTCTCTCCCTCCTCTGCCCTCTCTCCCTCCTCTGCCCTCTCTCCCTCCTCTGCCCTCTCTCCCTCCTCTGCCCTCTCTCCCTCCGCTGCCCTCTCTCCCTCCTCTGCCCTCTCTCCCTCCTCTGCCCTCTCTCCCTCCTCTGCCCTCTCTCCCTCCTCTGCCCTCTCTCCCTCCTCTGCCCTCTCTCCCTCCTCTGCCCTCTCTCCCTCCTCTGCCCTCTCTCCCTCCGCTGCCCTCTCTCCCTCCTCTGCCCTCTCTCCCTCTCTCTCTCTCCTCCTTTACCCTCTCTCCCTCCGCTGCCCTCTCTCCCTCCGCTGCCCTCTCTCCCTCCTCTGCCCTCTCTCCCTCCTCTGCCCTCTCTCCCTCCTCTGCCCTCTCTCCCTCCTCTGCCCTCTCTCCCTCCGCTGCCCTCTCTCCCTCCTTTGCCCTCTCTCCCTCCGCTGCCCTCTCTCCCTCCGCTGCCCTCTCTCCCTCCTTTGCCCTCTCTCCCTCCGCTGCCCTCTCTCCCTCCGCTGCCCTCTCTCCCTCCTCTGCCCTCTCTCCCTCCGCTGCCCTCTCTCCCTCCTTTGCCCTCTCTCCCTCCGCTGCCCTCTCTCCCTCCGCTGCCCTCTCTCCCTCCTCTGCCCTCTCTCCCTCCTCTGCCCTCTCTCCCTCCTCTGCCCTCTCTCCCTCCTCTGCCCTCTCTCCCTCCTCTGCCCTCTCTCCCTCCGCTGCCCTCTCTCCCTCCTCTGCCCTCTCTCCCTCCGCTGCCCTCTCTCCCTCTCTCCCTCCTCTGCCCTCTCTCCCTCCTCTGCCCTCTCTCCCTCCGCTGCCCTCTCTCCCTCTCTCCCTCCTCTGCCCTCTCTCCCTCCTCTGCCCTCTCTCCCTCCTCTGTCCTCTCTCCCTCCTCTGCCCTCTCTCCCTCCGCTGCCCTCTCTCCCTCCGCTGCCCTCTCTCCCTCCTCTGCCCTCTCTCCCTCCTCTGCCCTCTCTCCCTCCTCTGCCCTCTCTCCCTCCTCTGCCCTCTCTCCCTCCTCTGCCCTCTCTCCCTCCTCTGCCCTCTCTCCCTCTCTCCCTCCTCTGCCCTCTCTCCCTCTCTCCCTCTCTCCCTCCTTTGCCCTCTCTCCCTCCGCTGCCCTCTCTCCCTCCGCTGCCCTCTCTCCCTCCTCTGCCCTCTCTCCCTCCGCTGCCCTCTCTCCCTCCTTTGCCCTCTCTCCCTCCGCTGCCCTCTCTCCCTCCGCTGCCCTCTCTCCCTCCTCTGCCCTCTCTCCCTCCTCTGCCCTCTCTCCCTCCTCTGCCCTCTCTCCCTCCTCTGCCCTCTCTCCCTCCTCTGCCCTCTCTCCCTCCGCTGCCCTCTCTCCCTCCTCTGCCCTCTCTCCCTCCGCTGCCCTCTCTCCCTCTCTCCCTCCTCTGCCCTCTCTCCCTCCTCTGCCCTCTCTCCCTCCGCTGCCCT